CAGATTGCTCCGCGTACTAAGAAGTTGTACTACAAAGTCGCCAGTTCTCAGCTTCCAGCTCCCCAGATTGCTCCGCGTACTAAAGTTGTACTACAAAGTCGCCAGTTCTCAGCTTCCAGCTCCCCAGATTGCTCCGCGTACTAAAGTTGCACTACAAAGTCGCCAGTTCTCAGCTTCCAGCTCCCCAGATTGCTCCGCGTACTAAAGTTGCACTACAAAGTCGCCAGTTCTCAGCTTCCAGCTCCACAGACGGCTCCGCGTACTAAAGTTGTACTACAAACTCGCCAGTTCTCATCTTCCAGCTCCGCAGATACTCCGCGTACTAAAGTTGTACTACAAAGTCGCCAGTGCTCAGCTGGAACCACAGATTGCTCCGCGTACTAAAGTTGTACTACAAAGTCGCCAGTTCTCATCTTCCAGCTCCCCAGATACTCCGCGTACTAAAGTTGTACTACGAATTCGCCAGTTCTCAGCTTCCAGCTCCCCAGATTGCTCCGCGTACTTTACTAAAGTTGTACTACAAAGTCGCCAGTTCTCAGCTTCCAGCTCCGCAGATGCTGTGCCTGCCACGAAATCTGCACATCGAGGTTCACAAAGTGCTGTGCCTGCCACGAACTCTGCACATGGAGGTTCACAAAGTGCTGTGCCTGCCACGAAATCTGCACATGGAGGTGCACAAAGTGCTGTGCCTGCCACGAAATCTGCACATGGAGGTTCACAAAGTACTGCGCGTGCCACGAAATCTGCACATGGAGGTTCACAAAGTCCTGCGCCTGCCACGACATCTGCACATGGAGGTTCACAAAGTGCTGCACCTGCCGGGAAATCTGCACATGGAGGTTCACAAAGTGCTGCACCTGCCACGAAATCTGCGCATGGAGGTTCACAAAGTCTTGTGCCTGCCACGAAATCTGCACATGCAGGTTCACAAAGTGCTGTGCCTGCCACGAAATCTGCACATGGAGAATCACAAAGTGCTGCACCTGCCACGAAATCTGCACATGGAGGTTCACAAAGTGCTGTGCCTGCCAGGAAAACTGCACCTGGAGGTTCACAAAGTACTGCACCTGCCACGAAATCTGCACATGGAGGTTCACAAAGTGCTGCACCTACCACGAAATCTGCACATGGAGGTTCCCAAAGTGCTGTGCCTGCCAGGAAATCTGCACATGGAGGTACACAAAGTGCTGCACCTGCCACGAAATCTGCACATGGAGGTTCACAAAGTGCTGCGCCTGCCACGAAATCTGCACTTCAAGAAACAAGTGAAAACTCTAATCCCAATGGACGGACGATTCCGAGCATGATCCGAGCATGACCCGAGACCGTCTCGCACCCGTCGTTCCGCAAACCTTGACTTGCCAGCTTCGGAGCCATCGGGTCCATTGAAAAATACAGCATTTTGTGCGTTCGCTATCTCTCCACAACGCATTTTGTATTGCGCCTGCCACGAAATCTGCACATGGAGGTGCACAAAGTGCTGTGCCTGCCACGAAATCTGCACGTGGAGGTTCACAAAGTGCTGCACCTGCCACGAAATCTGCACATGGAGGTTCCCAAAGTGCTGTGCCTGCCAGGAAATCTGCACATGGAGGTACACAAAGTGCTGCACCTGCCACGCAATCTGCACCTGGAGCTGGAGTTGCCTGGAGCTTGAGCTGTTGAAACCAGAGCTGGTGTATGAGTGGTATGATGAGTGGTGTATGATGAGTGGTGTGTGACGAGTGGTGTATGATGAGTGGTTGTTGAACAGCTGTTGAATGTCCGTAACACGGAAGTTTTGCACACTAAACTTCCTTTGATCATCGGTGCCGGCTTCAGACTCAGCACCTTCCTCTTCATCCTCAGTACCAAAGAAAATTTCACTGCAATCGGGTTTCCAAATTGAATTGGGTCCTCAGACCTGCTTGTGCTTTCATAGGTTCTTGCAAGAAGTTGAAAAAGGTTGGCAGTTGCAATTTCATAGGTTCTTGCAAGAAGTTACCATCATTGCAGGAAGTAGCAAGTGGTTGGTAGTTTATTGCAAATAATCTTTGCATTGTTGTAAAAGCCTGAAGTGGTTGGTAGTTGCGGTTGCACCTCAAATGCAATGGGTTGTGTTCGTGACTCACGGTGGTTTTACAGGACTTGGTGGCAGGTCTTGTTTACTTTGTTGTTTGTGTACTACGCTGTCAGCGTTGTTCACCAGCTACGCTACCAAACACACCCTGTCTCTTCACACTGTACTGGGCTGCATCCGTGCAGCTCAAGCAAACCATCACTTTGTTTGTTTAAGTATGCTGGTCCCTTTGATGGCTTGAGGGTCGGGCGTTATTGCCTGTAAAAGGCTTAAAGATGCTTGAATCAGTATCAGAGTCCACTACAACCAAACATTAGGGTTCCAGGAGACAATCGTGTGAGAGAGCGTTAAATGTGTTTCAGTTTGTGAAGAGCACAATGCAATGCGTATATATAGGATATTTACTCAAGGAAGTCCCAACACCAAATGCTTCAGGTATCATCAGGCGCATTGTATACCAAATGACAACTGTCTCGTTCGAGTTGCTCCAGCTGGTGTTTGCAACGTTGGTCTGGACATGCCTGCACTCAAAATACTTTGACTTTGCGTTGAAAAACTTTACCGACTAGGGCCTTTGGAGCATTGGCTTGGAATACCACATCGGATTAAATATTCGACAGGCCATTCCAGGCAAGCAAGAGGCGTTGTACACGTACAACCACCTTTTTTTGTAGCGAAAGCTTTATTGAAGCGAACCCACCTACGCCGCAGTGGATCAACCGCCCGATTCCCACAGAACATCTACATTGGGAACAACTTGTGAACAGTTCCGAATCCAAAATAGATCATACCTTATGCTGGGAATCCTTCGGTTCAAGGAAAAGAGAAACAACAAAATAGAAAGCACATGGACACCTCAGGTGATGTAAGCGAATTTGCATTC